CTTTTGTCGAAGATGGGATTCGATCTTTTGCGTAAAAAAGGTGATGTATCTATAATCAGCGCCTTAAACCGCTCGGCCAGCGCGCTCTGTCACCATATAAAGTAGTTTTCTCTAATATATACATTAAAATGAATTGAAAACGGCTTCGCGTGGTGGATGCTTCGCCGCTGCTCCATTAAACGGGCCCTTCTTTTACTTTTGCAATGCATATTGGCACGAACTTAGATCAAGATGTATCGGCAGATGTTGTTTTTTTGTTTTTGGAAGTTTATTTTCGTCTTCATGTCAACAATGCAAGATAAAATTGTCGGTAAGATCGATCGAGATTCAATTGTATTGAAATAACCGACCAATTCTTTGCACACGTACGGTATCCTCGATCGCTCAGACCATTTTTTAACATGAAAACCTATGGGGTAACCATGGAGACTGAACTATTTTCCCGGTAACCATGGTTATTGGGATTTTAGAACTATTTTAACCATGGTTACTGGGAATTTTCGGGAACAGTTAAAGTTTATGAATGCAATTTCGACCAATCAGATTGCTGGATTACAAAGTGAGGTATATAACGCCCTTTAATAAGTTTATGCCCGATTATCATTGTTTGCATATTGAAAAATAGTTTACAGACTGGAAAATGCATGGATGGAATGGAAGAGAGATATTGAGCAAGGGAAAGCAAACCGAACACTTACCTGACAGGTTAGGGAAAGATCGGGTCAAAAGACAATAATTTTAGAGGGCCACGCTAACCAAAACGGGCTAAAAAAAATTTAAAAAAAAGACATGTAGAATAATTTTTGACTGAGATTCCGAACATGACAATCATTATTCTTAGAAATCATCATTAATTCTGGGATCTAGCTTTTAAAATGACGACTCAGAACACGGAGAAAAATCCCAGTTTTGATGATGACGCATTTTACGTCATTGCAGGCGCCTCTCCGGTGAAAAATAGGGTGATTTAGGCATTTAAATGTCTTTAAATAGGCAAACTATGATATTAATTGAATAAAAAGACCTTTATCTGAAAAATAATATGCACTTAATAAATCCTAGTACATTTTTGGCAATTTCGTCATTCCTAATTATGAAATTTTCAAATTATCAAATCGGACATGCCCGCAATGACGTCAAATGCGTCATCAAGCCACGGGACAGTATTACCTTTTTTCGAGGGGCGTAGCCCAGCAAGCATGAGAACTGTGAATAATCGATGGCTATTATAATTTTTCTGTCAATTTAGAGATTTTCTGAAAAATCAGAGGCCGAATTATTAATAAGTATAGAGGTGTATTCATGTTTTGAACCCAAATAAAAAGCTTAGCAGGGGCATTTATTTCGGAAAGGGGGTGCCTGTTAAACATGGGGGCAAATATAATTTTAGAACGAACAAAAAAAAAAAAAAAAAAAAAAAAACTTTTTGGCATGATTGTTTTTTTTTCCAGACCACTTTTACTCTAAAAAAAAAAATCTTGATGAACAAAATAAATCCAGAAGGTCTGCAATCATTGCTAAAAACATTTATCATTTATTTTTTGCACGTTCCCGATAAAAATCTTGTCCTTTCCCTTGAACTTGCTTCAACCACAACCTTTTTAAATCCAGGCACCGTCTAGTCCTTGATCATTATTTGCTTTTATTTTATCATTCCAACTGGCAAAATCTACTAGTATTTTTCTCCAGTTTTTTGTTTGTTGAGATAAAGAATGGTTATGATGATTTCGTACATGTGCACCTTTCTTTCGTGTTTCACCATTAGTGTGATCACCGACGGTGATTATGGCAAGTGTTTTTCTTGAAAATTTGGAAAATGGGATTGGTTCTAAAGTTTAGTATAAGCGATACTGTAAGGCGTACCGCCCAATAACGCCTGCATCTATAGATTATATTTCAATTTCAGAATTATGAACCTTCGGGATTATGATTTCTATCTATTTTTGAAATAATGTACCCTATTTCATATTCAGAATTATGAACCCTATTTCATATTCAGAATTTCGAACCTTCGGAATTATGTAACCTTTGGTGTAACGAACCTTCAGAATAACGAACGTTTGGATTAACTTTGGGAAAATGCTACATGTAACCGGGTCTTATGCAGTCTTAATTAGGACTTAATCAATTTGTGTGTCATTGCAATATAGCCGAGTGGCTTTTACCCCTTTTTAACTTGAAACCTGAATGTGCCTAACATGTTTAAATATTCAATTTTGATAGAAGATATAATTTATGTGTAATACCCGATTATTATGATTTTATTAAGACTTCGAGAGCTAAAGGATTTTTTCCATTAATTACATTTTTTTCTGGTAATGGTATAACCTTTATTTTGTAAGTTGGTATGGTCAGTAGAAGTGTATATGGAACCACGTTCGGCATGTTTTGCTATGTGCACCATGCAGCATCTATTAGCAACGGCGAACGAGTTCTCTTTCAAATCTTTTTTACAAGTTTGATGGAAAATATCGTACAAAGCGTTAACCTATTACTGGACACTTCGCGCTACAAAAATACTTTTTAACGAATGCTCGGAAAATTAGGTGACAAACGAATTAAATACCGATGAATAAAGCGTACTTATTTGAAGCGATGAATCTGCGGCAATTTGCGAGGAGCGTCAAAACAATAAAACAATTCATATTTTGTATCAAATAAAAAAGCATGGTCTTAATACCGAACACTTTTTTGCCACTAAATTTTAATCTACAGAAATGCTTGTATAAATCTTTATGTATGGTGTTATCCGTGATTTTGTATCAAAATAAAGATTTATTTTAGCAACAAAAAATGAATCAAATGAATGTAGAGGTGTTAAGGTTTAGTGAATAAGGCGTTGGACTGTGGATCACAGGGCCTTTGGCAAGATGTTAATTCTACATTTGCCACTCTCCACCCAGGTGTTCAATGGGTACCGGTAGGAAGGAATTCCTTGAATGCTTTGAGCGCCGAAATCTGCTACCTAGCAGAGTACCATTGAGCACCATGCATGGTGCATATATGCGCTATAACCATCCTATATTATTATTATGATTATTATTATACAGACTTTACTAATTTCAATATACACATTTTGTTTTCGAAAATGAATTTTTCAACGAATATTCTCCGTTTCATTCCCTTTATTACCTTAAAAAACGCACAACTGAGAACTCAGTAATGGTGATTGCGTACTAATTAAGGCATTATGCATATTTGTGATAATATAACGAAAGTCTGAATATGCTCATTGCTCAGCCCCTATAAATTTGCTACCAAAATCGTTTGGCACACGCCATTTATCTGTAATCTTTATCATATTCAGTGTAAGTTTTGTTGGATTCTGTGAGAATCTATTTTCTATCAAAACCAGAACTCAAGCTTATTTCAAAGAACACGCATAATGTCCATATTGATATTTTAACAAGAAGAAAGAAAAGTAGCAATAACAACAGCTAATCTAACTCGAACTGTAAGTGACAAACAAATAGTTTTGCAAGTTGGTCTTTACCTTTGTACTTTCTGGTGCCACATCATTTAATAGAGCAACTGTTGTCTCTGATTGTTTTCAGATGAATGTGATAAGATCGATTGTCTTAATGGAGGAACCTGTGCGCTAGGCTCTTGCGCATGTCCAGCAGGATTTGCTGGCCTTTTCTGTCAAGATAAGCGTAAGTATCTTGAATATTTTGTTTTGTGTTTATAGATGAATTGCTGTTAATCATGATTTAGCCAGGATGTCTGCATGAACGCACACGCACATCCTCAACCACACACCCATTCACACCCTATCAATTAAATTTTTGCTTCTGACACCTGAGATAAAATGAGAATTAAGGATGACGTAATTGACATTTTCTTTGCTCCTGACAATTCTCTCTTACCAGTGACATCTGTTAAGTGTGGAAGTAGTTCAATGACCGTCAACATAGATGCACGACTAGTCCCAGGTAACGCATCTGGTGTTCATTTTCGAAACCTATCCTGCTCCGGTGTAAACGCGAGCACTAATGAGATCACTCTTACTACAGACTACAGTCAATGTGGCACCACCTTTGAGGTATGACTTCTTAAATGATAACTGGTATGGATCACTCTTGTTGCCGTGGCTACCAAAAAACGTGGGTGTGTGCATGATATGTGAAGAGGGGGCTTAAACATAGTGTTTTAGCTCCCATGAGAGCGCACCCCCTAACTACACGGGGTCCAGGGGTAAAGCTTTATTTACCGTGTTTACACGGCCGTAGCCAGAGTTTGATGTTGGGGGGGGGGGCACATAGGCCTACATGTTATTGATCGACGTCCTGGGAAGGGGTCTAAAAAAGTTCAACCGATCTTGGAAGAAAAACAAATTCTAAGGTGGGGGGCAGGTGCCCCCGTGGCTACGGGCGTGGTTTACACAGTGACTCGGCTCTGGGTTTAATCCTCAAGCAGGGTTGAACCCTACGCAGAGGGCAACTGTGATCGCGTTTATACGGAAACAAAATAAGGCGAGTTATACACCACCCGCGGAACACAATGACGTCACAATGCGGGGTATTTATTATCAGTAGAGAAGGTACACGCGGATCACTGAGATCCGTTTACATGTCATAAAATTGCCGGGTTGAAAACAGCTCGCGGATTCAACCCCTTAGCCGAGTCACTGTGTAAACACGGTTATTATGTTTGATCCTTTCTATTGCTCGCCTCTTTTCATTGCCTGGCACTGACAGAAGCATTTTTGTATTAAACATTAATAAATGACACTCTTATAATACTCATTATGTAAAGCTTTTTATCTATTGAGTTGATATTTAGCTCCTCTTATTTCGGCTATAGCTAGGAATATCCATTATTCCTCAGTCCTCACTATGTTGTTAAATTAGTTTTTTTGTATTTCTTTGCTACAAAACATTACATGTACTTTAAATGCCCTGCATTTTCCAGTAAAATGGAATCGCCTGGGCTATTGTATATTCTCATTTGTTGTGCGAGTTTGAAAAATAAAGTGATGTTAACAAAATAAAAATACAATGTATACATTAGTTGTTGTTTTATCGAACTCAATACTGGATTTCATTTTTTTTTTTCTCGTAACATCATTGCATGTTATATTACTTCGTGTCATTACAGGAGGAAAACACAACTATTACATTCACAAATGTAATAACTTACGCCAAGCCGGGCTCGGAAGATGGTACAGAGATCACCCGTGAATATCACATGCAGGTTCGGGTTGAATGTTGCCTCGAGAAAGAGGCAATCATCAGTGGATCCTTCAGACCACAGCTTGGTGAGGTGTCCTTCAGCGACAAGGGCTCTGGTGAGTTCAGCCTGAGACTGGAAAGGTTCCAGACAGGTGCTTTTGGTGATCTGGAAGTGGACACCGCCTCTGCTGTCTTGCAAGAAGATGACCTCTTCTTTGCTGTGGGACTTGAGTCGGTACAAGACGTTGGCATGTTTATTGATCGCTGCTGGGCGACAACCAAGCAAGACTCGGATACCGATCCACAGCACTCTCTAATTTCTTCAGGGTTAGTAGAAAATTGCATGAGCCTGAAGAAATAAATCACTTGTCTCTAAATCCAAAGTTTTGGGGTTCCAATCCAGGTCCATCACTTAGGTCTTTTGGCAAGAAATTAATCCACATTTGCCACCCTCCACCCAGGTGTTAATGGGTATACTGTTTTACTGCTTGGTTAATAATAATGTCAAGGACCCAAGGAAAATCGGCTATGATGCTGAGGAGGCTTCTCGGCTTACTTCGTTTCATCGGGTGTCCACGTCGGGTCGAGGCTCGGGTTCCACAAACTTTCGTGAAAACTTAACCCCATAACCACAAAAGGTCGTGTGTTTCATTTTGTCGGGTTACACGATGATTTGTGAATTTATCCCCCAATATTCACTAAAGATCAGGTAAATTGAATGCACATAATCATTTCCTTTTCAAAGATGCTCTTTGAGATATATAAAACAAAAATATAACAATGAATATAAGTGGCAAAACATACTCAGTCCTGCCTGGTTCCCAAACAAATATAAATAAGAGCAACACATTTTGTGACAGGATATACAAAATAACGCAGTGTCGTTCTCTAGCCTTTTTTTGACCGTTTGTATGTATCTCGTATTAAAAGTGCTGGGCCGAGACATGAGTTTTTTTTAGATTTGCTGTAGGTTTTTTCCAGAAAGTGTCTGGTAAACTCGACCCAACACTTTGTCGTTAAGAGGGAAGTATTTCACAAACGTTATACCTGAAACTTTGGGGAATCAGGGCTGGATTTTTCTCGAAAGTTTGTGTAACCCAAAGACGGAAAGAAGCAATGGAACGAAATAAGCAAGGTTTCTCCGGGAAAACAAAATAAGTAGTTGTAGTAGTGGTATTAGTAGCAAAAGTGGTATTAGTAGTAGTAATCGTTGTTGTAATCATCATAAAAATTGTACATTTTGTTAGCCGAGGGATATCGGCTAGAACCCCCCCCCCCCTAACTCGAGTACATTGTTTTCAATATGTTCTATAGTTGCCCAGAGGATGACACAGTTGCTATCAATCGTAGCCTTGGATTGCATCGAGAAGGCTTTTCTTTTGAAGCATTTGCCTTTGTTGGAGATTACACTGAGGTAAAATATTAACATGGCATGAAACTTATACACATAATTGTATAACAACTATTTTGTTGCCCATTTCATGAGTATATAACCCCCCCCCCCCCCAAAAAAAAAAAAAAAAAAAAAAAACCCTGTACAATCACGCTCTGTTACCTACATGTATAGAATGGCAACTGCGTGCAACAAAGGTCTTGAACACATTCACTGAGCTCCGTGGTATAAGATACAGAAATATGAATCGTATTAAACTTTACATCATATTTGAACAAGACTTTTTTTTAAGCCTTTTGTTTTCTTTGATCACAATTGCCCACCTTGAAGGGGAAGTCCACCCTGATATCAAGTTGGTTCTAATGAAAGCAGAACAATGAGAGAAACAAATAAGTTAAACATTTGAGTGATATCCGATTAAAAATAGGAAAGTTACATACAAAAAATTGAATTTATCATCAGTGGAACACAAATGTGCAACACTGTAACTAATTATTGATGACGTAATATATATGTTTCATACAGGGATTGTAAAACAAAACATATTTGCAATAATCATTTTTAAGCTGAATGAACGGTTGAAAAGTTCTTAAGATTTGTTGTACAGGGCGAGTAGGAGGAGACCTCACAAGATACATCACAGAGGAGCCAATTTTTTTTTTGGATTGATTTCACCTTCAAAAATTCATAACTTTCTTATTTTTAATTGGTTTTGGCTCAAACGTTCACAGACCAGTTTCTCTCACATTTTCTGCTCCTCTTAAATCCAACCTGATATCAGGGTGGACTTCCTCTTTAAAATTAGGGAAAATTTGAAACCAAATGTGTTTGGAATTTTAGATAGTATTAAACAATGTATCTTAATGCATGCATCATCTTTTTCTCAGGTGTACATTCACTGTTCAGTGAAGGTCTGTGGTGCCGCGAAGGCTCAATCGTTTCGAGACGCAGGATGCCCCTCAGAATCTCCACCTCCCGACCGCAAACGTCGATCTTGGTCCGTTATGTCCACTCAGACCATCAGTAATGGTCCGATCCACATCCGTCGCTCAACCAGCGATATGGCTACTAATGGTATGTACTATTTTGTAGCAACAACCATAAAAAACCTGAAAATGCAACTTTTTCCTCATGGATAAATAAGCGCACTGACTTAAGATAGTCCTTTACCGGACATATAAGGATAGGAATATCCTGGAAATATAACGTTAGCAGGTGATCACTTATATTTGCTACTAAAAGGGGGAGGGGATAGGCCTGGAGGAGGAGGGGTGTGGGCCATTCCCTATTCCCTTGGTCCGCGGTTCGAGTCCCGCCTCGGCACTAATGTCCTTTGGCAAGAAATTGATCTACATTTGCCACACTCAACCCAGGTGATGTAAATGGGTACCTGGCAGGAATTAATTCCTTGAAATGCTAGAGCGCTGTAATGGCAGCTAGGCTAAAGCCGGGGTAATAATAAATGTGCCTCGGAATAGAATTTCTAGATAGACAGCGTTATAGAAATGCCTATTATTATTATTATTATTATTATTATTATTATTATACGCATGTTAATATATATATAATTCACATTCAATTGTTCTACCATATTTTATATTTTCCAATAATCACAGATTTGTCTGCTTACAACCCATTTGCGATGCTCCTCATTGGAATGATAGCAACACTGGTTGTCGTGGGAATCATGATAGGTGTAGTCAAGCTTGTTCGTAACTCGACTGTAATCAACTACCAGCGACTAGTTCCTATTGGATCCATGCAAGAAATTGAGTAAAACCACGTGCTCCAGAAAGGGCCGTAGACTGATGGACAATTTTCTCCAACTCTATCGATAATTAATTTGATTCCGAAACAGGACATCCCACAAAGTCGCACAACCAAGGCCCCTTACTACACTCCTCAAAAGAAAAACGAGAGGGACACTCTCTATTGTTAAATTTGTTCATATAACCTGTCAATAAAATAAAATACATAATACAACTTTGTCTAGAATATGGCGTCCCCCGAGTCTCTGTGATCGGCCCTCAATGCTTAAACATGTACGTTCAGCCAGTGGTAGATACCTTTGATAAAGTTTCACCACTATCCCCCTTCCCCCACCCCAAATGAGCGAAATTTCGGTCGGCGCGATTTTCAAATTTTCGGTAGCCCTAAAAAAAAAAAAAAGTGCTCACTACCCCCCCCCCCCCCCCCCCTCCCCCCCCCCCCCCCCCCCCCCACTGTGAGCGAAATTTCGGCCAGCGCGATTTTCAAATTTTCGGTAGCCCTAAAAAAAAAAAAAAAAAAAAAAAATGTGCTCACTACCCCCCCCCCCCCCACTACCAATTCTAATAATAACAACCTTTATTACAAGGGAAACCTTTAAAGGGATCCGGTAACTTTGTCTTAGATCCTTTAGAAATAATCCTTGATTTAGCTCATGCTGCAATGATAGTTATAAACCTTTAGGTCTGTCAGGAGCTCCATGACTTTTACAAGCCGTTCGCCTGTCTGATTATCAAGATATTAATGATTGGAATTACAAATTTTGAAAACCGTTCACCGAACGGTTTTCATAACAGTACAGTCTATTGGGGAAAACGAGTATATTTTATATCAACATCAGTACGGATTTAGGAAAAAGTATAGTACTCAATTATCATTAATTAATCTTATGAATACGGTATTGAAAAGTATAGACGAAGGATGTGTTACGCTAGGTGTGTTTCTTGACTTTCAAAAGGCTTTTGACACAATAAACCATAAAATATTATTTAAAAAGCTATCACATTATGGCATCCGAGGACATGCACTGAAATGGTTCGAAAGCTATCTTAGTGACAGAATGCAGTTTGTGAAATACAAAGAGTCATCATCAGAAAGTAGATATATCAAATGTGGTGTACCACAAGGTTCTGTCTTAGGACCAACTCTGTTTTTAATCTATATAAATGACTTGCCAACTGTGACAAATTATTTGAATTTCAGACTATTTGCAGATGATTCTAATATTTTTCACACTTTTCCCAAAGGTGTAGATCAAATAGATGAGTGTGAAGTAAATGAAAATTTAAAATCAATACAGAATTGGTGCACTGCAAATAAGCTTACTATCAATGCGTCAAAAACCAATTTCATGTTCTTCAGTAGTCGTAGAAGAAAGGCTGTGCTTAAAGGGAGATTTAAAATATCTGGGGCAGAATTAAGAGAAGTGGAGGAAGCAACATTTGTTGGCATTACCATTGACAGACATTTAACATGGAATTCACATATAAAATGTGTTAATGACTGTATACGGAGAAAGGTCGGTATCCTCTTTAAATTACGGCACTTTGTCCCTAAACATATATGATACTGTTGTATAAAGCTCTAATACAGCCACATATTACATATGGCATCGAGGTTTGGGGTAGTACTTATAAATCACACTTGAATTGTATATTTTATACTCAAAAGATGGATGTACGTGCTATAACTTTCAAGCCACATCGTTCTCATACTAATGCACTGTTTCATGACCTCAAATTGTTGAATGTTTTTAAATTGCATAAATTATCTATTTGTACTTTTGTGTTTGATTTGATAAATGAACGATTACCTCATTCCTTAAAACATTATTGCAGTATGATACAACATGAATATTCCACAAGACAAAAAACGGGTCAACAATTACGTCTTCCTTCATTCAAAACAGACCAAGGAAAGTGTTCTGTTTCGTTTCACTCTGCCTAAACAACAAATGCTCCTCCTTTATATGTGCATTGTACAAGCTTTTACCATGGAGAAATATGCATGCATCTTTACTGACACTTATTAAAGTAGATCACAAAATGCTTACAGTAAAAATATTTTGCTCTGCATGCTGAAGGTTTTATGTTGATTTATTTTATTCAAAATATGAACTTCAAATATTACTTCTGGAAAGTTAAGATACACTCTGAAAAATGGCTTGTAAGGAGACTAATTGACTCACCCATATGCGCTTGCCTAGAAAAGGCCCGCATGGAAGTCCAATTTGGGTTCCATGAGCACGGTTTTATTCTATTATTTCTTTTCTTCTCACTCCTTATTCCTTGACCCATAGAATGCCATATAATCTTCATGAGGTTGATTTTATTTATTCTTGCTGTCCTCAAATGATTATTTTAGGTAATTCGTACGATTTTATGATAAAATTTACATTCATATGTACATGTACATCCTAAACACTTTGTTCACATTCAGAAACCTCTATTTTCTAATAAAATGAAATTTAAAAAGACGTAGTTACTTTTATATGAACATAGCCTATATGTTGTGGCCTTAAAAGCAAAAAGAGACTTGTTAGACCGAAAGAGTAAAACATTAAAATTAACCAAAGTCTTGTCTATCAGATACAATTTTTATATGTTATGTTAGCAAACATATTTATGCAGCATTTTCCAGTTTGCATCTGGTCTTTATCTTATCTTGCCAAAGAATAGTAGTGCCGTATCGGGATCCAAACTCTCGACCTTCGTATCTCCAGTCAACCAACTTAAACCACTCGACCACGACACTCCAATGGGAAATGGAATACAAAACAGTTTAATACCTTTTTTCTGATTATGCTATCTCCTTCTTTCCATACTTTCATTTCTATCAATCATACTTTTCTCATTCTTTCCTGTTGTTGCCCTTCCATCTTTCATAATTGTTCTTAAATGGCATGGCAACAAGATCACTTATGATGAATAGTTCCTGAGGTTTCTCAAATGTCGAATGATTTGTAATACTATCATACATCACAAGAAAAACTGGTTTTGTGTTCAGTGAGCAAGAATCTCCCTGTTCAATTCAATTTACAAGCCAACTTTACGGTTTGGCCAAATATATACGGCACTCACTGTGTTGGTCTTTAACCCCCAATAAACATGAAATGTTCTTTAGAGTAAATGTTCTATACATGTTATAACATGCTCAGGACACTTTGTGAATATCTGGAGAATGTTGTGTATTTTCTGGGCCATGGAAACCAACCTTGAAAGACATGCATACTATAACGCCATGACATTGTACCGGTCAACATTGTACCGGTCAACATTGTACCGGTCAACCTTGTACCGGTCAACCTTGTACCGGCCAACATTTTACCGGTCAACATTGTACCGGTCAACATTGCACCGGTTAACATTGTACACCTTTTCCATTTACAGTGTACATGTACTTACATCTCTGCTGATCGTGCGAATAGTAGACATATCCCAATCAAAGGAATTAAGCATTTGTTAGCTCGATGCATGGTAATAATCATTAGACTGTAGCGTGTTGCATTGACACGGTAGGACTTTGTACCCATTTGCAACTTGAATCTATTCTGCGCCTGTGATTAACAAAACAATCAGATGACACAGTTACAGACATAGCTTAACGAAATAATCAGATGACACAGTTACAGACATCGCTTAACGAAATAATCAGATGACACAGTTACAGACATCGCTTAACGAAATAATCAGATGACACAGTTACAGACATCGCTTAACGAAATAATCAGATGACACAGTTACAGACATCGCTTAACGAAATAATCAGATGACACAGTTACAGACATCGCTTAACGAAATAATCAGATGACACAGTTACAGACATCGCTTAACGAAATAATCAGATGACACAGTTACAAACATCGCTTAACGAAATAATCAGATGACACAGTTACAGACATCGCTTAACGAAATAATCAGATGACACAGTTACAGACATCGCTTAACGAAATAATCAGATGACACAGTTACAGACATCGCTTAACGAAATAATCAGATGACACAGTTACAGATATTGATTAATGAAACAATCAAATGACACAGTTACATATATTGAGTAAGTAAGGGACAATCAACTATGGATTTCTTCCCCTATGGCAGGGACTCTTGATACATTTGTCAGCCAGGCCAGCAATACACCACATAAATCATGTTGAATGGCATAGAGAACTACATAGGCATAGGCCCGTGAATGTGGCATTTGCATGCTCCTTCCTTATTGATCTCTGTGGAAATTATACATTTAGTGGACAGAAATTAAGTGTCCTACACATTACAACTATTGATGAGTTATAAACATTAATATATAATGTGTTATATCAGTTCACGTAGGGAGACCAGGAGGGTGGCTGGACCTAACAACATCATCTATATAGCCTTACCTCCGTGTAGACACAACTAGTTCAGCAAGGCTACGTCTCTCTTCTTCGTTCCCTCCATCTTTCTAAAACTGTTTTTCCAACCAACCTTCTTCTATCACCCTATCATTGATAAACTCAAAAGTCAAGACCTTAGAAAACCATCTCTATAGCCTTAACTTTGTGTTGACACAACCAATTTAGGAGGGCTTCATGTTTTTTCTTTGTTCCCTCCTTCCTTCTTTAACTGTTCTGTTCATTACCACAAACTCTTCTTCTATCACCCTATCATTGCTAAATTTAAGACCTAACATCACCATCTCGATCTATATCCTTACCTCCGTGTAGACACAACCAGTTCGGGAGCGCTTCCCCTGTCTCCTTCGTTCCCTCCTCCTTTATTTAACTGTTCTTCCAAACAACCCTCCTTCTATCATCCTATCATTGCTAAACTTACGCACCGATACACAATAATTGAATGTAAAATGAATATAACTATTACCTAGCAAATTTGCATAAAAAACGAGAACTCTTGACATTAACGTGATTTTAAGAAGGGGAAGGTAAATGTTATAATCCTTTACAAATAAATGTGCGTACTAACATGTATTAATGAGGAAATCACCGTTCCAGTTATGTCAATACAGCATAATTGTTTGATAGAAAAAAAATTCACCTGCTGTGTAGCCTTTTGGTATCGCTATCTTGGCCATCCCCACGGCGATCTTGATGCCTTCCTACTTCTCCTCCTCCAGTCTCTGCCTCTATGCTCTCCAGGGGCCGATCTAGCTTTTTACTAAAGGGTGTGGGGGACCCAAATACGATGTAGAGAGCATCGTCCAAGAGCCGCGTAGCGGTGAGGCGATTTTTTATTTTCTGGTTGCTATTTTGACCCCCCGTAAGTGATGTTTTCCTGGCATCTACTGACATCTACTTATATTGTGTGGGCAGTTCACCAATCATGGACTCTGAATCACTGAGTTTCTTCTCCAGGACAATCTTTCTCTCCTTA